TTAGACAGAGGTACAAAGCCACCTTTAACTATACGAAATCACAATATTTTTCTTTTTTTCCAGAACAGCCGACCCTCTACCCTGTTAATGAGCCAACCCAACAGGAGTCATTGTGGTACCAGATTGCACACAGGCTCACCTTGCATTGATCAGCTTTCCATTATTGGAACAAATATCACAGACAAATCAACTTATAAAGAAAAAAGCACTTTGGCCCACAGTTAGTATTTTAACCAACAGTTTTAGAGGCATCACATGACTGACGATCCTCTTCACTTTGATTTTGTAGTGGTACAACACATGACGTCAGATTCACCTTCTTAACAGTCTCATAATCCCCTTTAACGTTGTGCTCCCAACGACCCAAGGACCTCAAACTAGGTCCCCACCACTTCCAATTGTACCACAAGCTTGGGGCTGTGCCTTTAGCCATGGGTTTATGGGACATACCTGTCCAGATCTTGAGAAATCTGTGTGTTCCCATGAGCTAAAGTCTCTTTGCTGACCACTTTCCCCATTATCTGTTACTTAGTCTCAGGCTATAGAACTTGCTTTAAACTTGGTCACAGAATTTAGGAGACTGAATCTATGAGACTGTCTCTTGGATAAACCGTTGGGCTAGAGCAACCACTTCTGGTTAGCCTCATGAAACACCAGGAAAAAAAGACAAGACCCTTCCCCGAATTCCCATGCTTTCATTTCCCTTTGAGTTCCCCTGACTCTTGCTAGGCATCAGCGTGCATGCCTATAATCCCAGCATGTGGAAGGCTGAGTCAGGAGGAATACATGAGTTGGAGAAGTAGCCTGGGCTACATAGCAAGACCAGTGTTGAGAGAGAGAGAGAGAAAAAGAGAGAGAGAGAGAGCTTTCCATACTGATAGGAACATTCCTAGCGTTTCCTCTGCAAGGTCTATGAGCCACACCCTCAGGCACCCACCCACACCCGGACAGCCTGTTATCAGTGCTTCAGTTTAATTAGGGAGCAGACACCACAGGGGCCACCTCCTCCCCCGGTTCCCTGTGAGCACCCAGCCAGCCACATCCACCCTCAGAGTCCATCACCAGCTCCTCTGGACCAGCTCCCCACAACCAGCCAGTGCCGCTCTGTGCTGAGGGATTAGCAGCAGTCTCCTGAAAAGGTTTAAACCGTTTGGCAGTGCGTCAGGTTTAATGAGCCCAGGGTGGGCTTAGAGCAGAGGTTTTTACAAGCTGCAGCTGCCAGCCAAGTTAATTGCCTCCCTCTGTGGACACCATATCAGCCAGGGCTTTGGAAAGGGGGAATTTCATCATGTTTCCAGAATAGTTTATGATCATGATAGGTGTGTACCATGTACCCATAGACCAGGCTACGCTAAAGGGGGAGGGGGCACCCATCAAAACTGACAAGGCCATGGCGAGGCTGAAGGATCACATTCTGTGACCCCTGGCATGACAGAAAATAAATGAGGGGCTACTGCTGTCACCACTCTAAGCTTCAGGGCGTGAGGAGGACATCACAGCTTTCCGTGCCTTCATCCCTGGTCATCCCTCTTGCTGAGGGGCTGTCATCTGGTCACACTGTGGCCAGTGAAGTGGGGGTGGGGGTTGCCCTTAAATTATTCTTCCTACCAAACCTTGCCACCCAGCTCAGCAAACACTCCCGAAGGATGAGACCTCTGCCATCCAGGACTTACATGCTCTTAACTTTAATACAAAGAATGTCAAGATTCAATTGCAAGCACTGAGAAAGGGGACGTCATCCAAGCTGAGGAGGTGGAATTTACCTGGTCTTTTTTTTTTCTTTTTCTAATTTTGTTTTTCAATTTAAGTTTATTTACTTTACATCCCAAGGGTAGCTCCTTCCTCCTCTTCTCTCCCTCCCCCCCAAAAAAATGGGGAGCTCTCCTCCCCCATATCAACCCTCCCCAGCATATCAAGTCACAACTGGACACAGCATATCCTCATCCACTGAGGCCAGGCAAGGCAGCCCTGCCGGAGGGAAGTGATCCAAAAGCAGGCAATAGAGTCCATGTTAGAAACAGCCCCCCCTCCTCCACTTGCCAGGCGACCCACATGAAGACCAAGCCACCCACTGGCCACATATGTGGGGGGGGCTATGTCCAGACCATGCATGCTCCTTAGTTGATGTCTCAGTCTCTGTAAGCCCCCGTGGGTCTGAGTTAGTTGTCTCCGTTGGTCTTCTTGTGAGGTTCCTGTCCCCTCCAAGTCTTTCCATCCTTCCCCCAACACTTCCACAAGACCCCCAGAGCTCCGCCCCACGCTTGGCTACAAGTCTCAACATCTGCTCAGCTGCTTGGTGGAGCCTCCCAGATGACAGTCATGTTAGGCTCCTGTCTGCAAACACAGCAGGGCATCAGTAATAGTGTCAGGGGCTGCCTCTCTACCGTGGGTTGTGTGTCAGGCTGGCCACTCATTGGCTGGACATTCCCTCAATCTCAGTTCCCTCTTTATCCCTGCACTTCTTGTAGGCAGGGTAACTTTTGGATCCAAGGTTTGATGGGTGGGTTGTTGCTCCCCTCCCCCGACTAGGAGACCTTCTTGGTTAGAAGATGGTCACTTCAGTCTCCATGTCTATGGGGTCCCCCCACAAGAGTCTTAGCTAGGGTCACACCCATATCCTCCCAGGAGCCTACCCTGTGTTGGAGGCACAGCCCTCGAGCAGCAGTGGTGAGGTCGCCCAGGGCCCTCTGCGGTCCACTTCCCCAATGCATCCCACACCCCAGTTCCTGGACTCCCACCATTTGCCGGGACCCAACCCAATCAGTGGCCCAGAGGCCAGCACAGATCAGGGAGCAGCAGGTGGAAGCCCTCCACCATCTACTGGCCTAGTCTTCATTAGTAGGTAGAGCATCCCAGAGTAGTCGTGGGGGCTGGGGTTACAGGGCTGAAAGGACACGGAAAGAAGAAGTAGGGAAGTAAGCAAGTCTGGAGCTTGCTGGACCTTTATCAGTAAGTCTGTGTGGCCTGGGGGCATTTCCTTCTCCAGAACAAGACGTGGGAGCTGCCAGTGGGCAGAGTGCATTCTTTCATAGCATTCAGTCTCTAGGTGAGACCCCCGAGTACCAGGAAAAAAAAAAAGTTATCTTAAGATAACTAAGGAGATAGATCAATGGGTGAAATACTTGTTATTAAGAGAGAGGACCTGGGCTCAGATTACAGAGCCCATTTAAAGCTGGATGCCACAGCACGCACCTGTAATCCTGGCTAAGATGAAATGTGGAGACAAAAGGAGCCCTGGAAGTCAGCTCGGCACAGGAAGTGGTAAACGAGAGACTGCCCCTAACAAGGTGGAAGGTGAGGCCAGACACCCGAGGTTGCCCTCTGATCTCCACGAGTGTGAGGTGGCACACACACACACACACACACACCTGTACTCTCACACCTAGGTGCTGCCTCATGCAGAAAGAGAGGTTTAAAACAAAAGAATTTAAATTCTTCAACCGTCCATTTTAAAAATGCAGGACCCTGTGGTGTCAGATGTGATAGCACACACCTTTAATCTCTGCACCTGGGAGGCAGAGCTGTGTTGGAGGCCAGCCTGGAATGTCGTGAGTCCCAAACCAGCCAGCATTACATAATGAAACTTTGTTGGGAGAGGGGAAGGGACAGGGGGCAAGAAAGGCCACGATGGGAGAGCCACTGTGGGTCTCCAGAGAATGGCGCAGGCCAGTTGCAGAAAGGTGGACAGCTACATACGGTCGGTGAGATAAGCATGAAGCCTGGCCATCCAATGGCCAGTTCTTCAGACCCTTGAGATTTCCATCTGATAAGGGTTGACTGGTTGAGACAAAAACCACCAAAACCACGTCATCTAAGCAGCAGCCTTGGGGTTGGGGCCTCGTGAGTGCTCTAGATTTAGCAAGAGCAGCAGGTGCTCCCTGCCCACTTCATGCCAGCCCAGCCTTCCATTCTCACTGTGGGACTTCCCACCTTGCACAATTAATCAATTACAATCTCTGCTGAAAGCAAAGCCCTAAGAATCCCCCTTTCAGTTCCACACAGATCACAGGTTACTTCTGCCGAGCGGAGAGCACCCTGCATCCACCACGCTTACGTGGAAGAAATGGGTTTTCTTCTTAAAATCCAGAGGCGGGTGTTTATCCTGTCTAGACAACACAAAGCAAAATGTCTATTTGCAAACGGAGGAAGCTGCTCAGTGGTTAGAGCACGTGCAGAGGACCTGGGTTCAGATCCCAGCATCCACATGGTAGCTCACAACCATCCGTAACACCAGTTCTAGGCTAGTCTCTTCCACAGGCACAGGCACACGCAAAGTGCACGGACATACATGCAGCCAGAACACTCACACACAAAAAGCTACCTAAAATAAATAAATAAATGAGCAAGAACAGATCCAGGGCAATGGATTTTAGGCTGTCGTCCCTAGGAAGGCCAACCATCTCATTCTCAACAGCGCCCCCACAGCATGGTGTCTTTAAGCTGTACTAACGGTGCCATATTAATGGAGTACTAAATACAAAATATGGCACAGAAAGCTGCCTGCAGCTTACTAGTGCTTCTCAGAGCTGTATCATCATAGACATTAACGTTTTCCCAACAGAAACAAGGTGGATTGGAGCAATCCTCTGTATAACTGTGAGGTGTAGCACTAGCCCTATTTTAATATATCAGTGTGTACTAGATTAATGAGCTCTCAAATTCCAAACCACCCAAGCCCGGGCCGGTATCAATGACTACAAGACTTGTGGAGAGTAATTCACGACATTTGCTTAAAATAATTCCGATGCAGAGAATGACACCCTGAAGGGGGCTCATTTTGTTGCCTTTTAAGTAAAAGGTGGCATCTGTGCCTTGAGGCTTTTGCTCCTGTTGGTGCTTGGTGTCACAGATGTCAATGAAGTCACTACTTCACTTCCTCACACTCGGCTCTCCTTCCCATGAGCTTCACTGCATCTGTGATGAACTGGCCTCTTCAGCACTTTTAAGCTTAGAGGGAATGGGGAGCCGAGAACGGAAGTACACACAAAACACTCTCCAAATTATTAAAAAGGCATTTTTATTATAAATACATTTTAGTTGTAGCAGTAAAATACATTTTGTGTTACCATGAATCTTTTAAAACAAAACAAAACAAACAAACAAATAAAAAAAAAAAAACTTCACCGACAATGATCACACCGTAGACTCCCGGGCTCAAAAATGTGTCCTAAGGAAGTAGCATAAGCTAAGGGGACTCCAAAAACCGAGTTAGGGAAGACAAAGAAAGGAGAAATGAAAAGCCTTGGTGGATAGCTGTGGGGTTATCTAATGATACAAAATCATCTTTACTTTCAAGAATCAATTCTCCAGGTATTAGGGCCTCTCAGATGAGGTATGATACACCGCAAAGGAACACAGTTGTTGTTATTACTCTTGGCATAGATTATGTTTAATTAGATGCTGCGTAAGTGGTGCTTGTCAGATAAACGAACCAGGGTGATTTCATGCGTGGCCTCTCTTACGGAGGCTTTTCCGGCAGAAGACCCAGCATGATTCTTCTACAGAACTGGTCCTATATATCGCTGACCACATTTAGGGAATTGTATTTTTTAAAACACTAAAAAGAAAGATCCTGTATCACTCTTTACTAAAAATGCAAACCCCATTAGCTTCATAATTCAGAGAAAGTATTTGAGCCACTCCATTCACCTGGGATGCAACTATGACATATAACCACTACCTTTATGGGTTTCAAAGAATCAGGTCAGGTGGCTGGCACAGAAGTCAGATACAGTACTTGATGTGCATGTCATACACATGGAGATATAGGCGCAGGCGTGGTCCCGATACATGAATATCAAGAACCCTTCCTCTGTGTGGGGGGAGGGGAAAGGGGAGGGGTGTTGTTGAGAAACAATCTCAGGTCTGACACTTTGGGACTTTAACCTGGACAAGAGCCCTCCACGCCCCCCCCCCCAAAAGATACAAAGTGGTACCATGCAAGGCAAATGGCAAATAAACCAAAATCCCTTATAAGCTGGGAGTGCATAGAGGAAGCTGTGCCGAGCACACCAGCCACCCACAGCTAAAGCTTCCCGGGCCTGTTATGTAGGAAGTACTGGGGGCTAAGGATTCTAAAGCTGTGCATCCTACGATGGTCACTGTGTCTTATACGTCTACGCCTATGCCGTTCTACAGTCTATTACCTTAAAAAATAGATTTGTTTTCTTGCTAGTAACTCAGAATACTCAAAGCCAGACTAAAAACCGGAAGCAGAGGCCAATACCCGCCAAGCTGCAGCCCAGGCTGAACATTAAACTCAACACACAAATGTAAAAATATCCAAAGACCTGTCAGGCTTATTACGTTGTAGGCAGTTTCTTTTTCAAAATAACTCGCTCATTCAGGCCTGCTATGACTTAGGAAGTCACTCACGCTGTGGAGACGGGTGTGTTCCCCTCAACTCTTCTGCAAACAGACAGAGTTCTTCAAGGTAGCAAGGGAATCAGAAACAATTGCTTCTTTTCTGCCACATACAACACCCAGGCTCTCCCTAAGGCCTGCTGGCACGGCAGAGAACCCAAAATAACTTTGTTAACCTGAGAAACATATAATACGAAAGTAAATCCTTTGCCCTCATGCCAATACACATACAAAAGAAGAAGAGAAGAAGAAGGAGAAGAAGAGGAGGAGGAGAAAGAAAACAAGAAGCTATAGACTCCGTTATTTGGGGACTATCTAACGTCTCTGATGCTCCGTGTCACTGCCACCCTGGGACAGGGACTCCCACACTGTGAGCCTCGATGAGTGCGGGGACACTCTCGGGGCGTCCGATGGCTTCTTTCCTCAGTTCTCTCTCCATGTGTAGGGATGAGGTCAACTCTAAAGCACATCCCACAAATGCACAGCTTCCAGATGGCAGCCGGGCAGCTGCGTCCTTAACAACAAACTCACCCTAGAAATGAAAGTGCCCCTGCACCCCAATGAGGAGGAGCAGAGACCCCAAAGGTACAGAGAGCTTTTTCAACAAATGGGCCACGTGTGGTGTCAGGATGATTAAAATGACCCAAGAGTAATGAGATGAAAAACCCTCTGGCTTTCTCTAGACCAGCGGTCTTCAAAGCGCGCTCCCTGGGCGGCTGTGGCAGTCACCCTGGGGTGGATCCAGCCATCTGTACTTCAACAACCCATCCAGGGAAAGCCAAGGCTGACTTCAGCTTCACAATCAACTTTTTTTTTCTTTTTCTTTTTTTCTTTTTTTTTCTTTTTTTCTTTGCTTGCTCTCGCTCACAATTCTAAAATCTTAAAATACGTTAAGTTTGTAAATAGTTATCACTGTATGTAATTTGTCACCCTTTCCCCCTTCACTTTCAAACATTAAAATATTAAAACAATTATTCCATAAAAATCAAAATTTTTCTTAAAAGGTGATATCGATTTCCCCTCCCCTTAGTACGTCATTCTAAGGCAGGCAACCACATGCTAGTATGCTAACTAAAGTACAGAAGAGACCTCAGATGAGGTAGAAAGAGCCAAAAAGACCCCCGAAAACCAAACTGAAAATCTCACAATATTGTTGAATGAACTCATAGAATTATATAAAACTTACTATACTTTATGTTTAGTATTTGTATCAAAATAAAATCTCTCTGTTGAACAAATTGCAAGTCACGTCTGGTCTACCACTGATGACTGAATACTACAGGACACATGGGCTTTCTCTTGAAACTCTTTTCAGAAGCTTCAGGCTACCACTGGCTCAATGGGCTGGAATTTACCCGCAGCTCACAAGTCCAAGTGTAGACTCTTCTATCATGTACCTTCCTTACAAAAACATTTTTAAACAATGAGGGTTTCTTTAAAGATCACTGTAAGGTAGGTATTTTTCAGTAGGCTCAAAATGTCTGACTGTTACACTAAAACTTAAAAAAAAAAAGTATGACCTGATATTCTAGCTTAGAGTTGATGACATAATGCCACTTTCTGATGTTTTATTAGGATGTTAAACTTGAGAAAAATCCTCTGTTTCAGTGGTCTTGGAATTGCTAATTAAATGGAGATAACAATGGGAGAGGGCAATGTGAGGAAGGCTTTTGTTTAAGGACCAAGGTGATGAGTCTGGGTACCATGATGTGAGGGGCACACTACGAAATATTCTGAACAAGAAGCACAAGGCAAAGCTTCAGTCATCTTTTTCCTAATTTCTGGGCAGCCTGAATATGGACCAGATGACAGATCAGATCTACCAAAACATGTGTACCCAGGTGTGAGAAGACAGACAGGGCAACGGTGGAAGCAGGGGGTTCATTATGCTAAGGGGAAGATAAGCAAAAAACAGTATCTACTTAATGAGAACCTTAACTGTGAGGAGGTTGAGAAGTGGATGGGGAGGGATGAACAGCATAAATAATATTTTAAAGCAGTAATTCTATGTTTTACTATACGAGAAGTTTTAATCTTGTATTTTTATAGAATTTTTCTTTAGCAAAACTCTCCACTACACAATGATTTCTTCACTCATGGGCATCTCCTAAAAATCAACTATTTCAGGAAATCTAACATTCTCCATGACAATATTTGAAACACTCAGATTTAACCTAAATCTATCTGTTTTCAGACCCTGACTCTTAGTCATGGTGGCTAGAAATACATTCTTTTATGTTTTCAGCTTTGCTCTCAAAATGAAACATATCAAAACACAGAACCTTCAACTACACTACAGCAATGCAATACAACATATAAGCTCAAGGTTAAAAGACACAGTGAGCTTCCTTGGAGCCTCAATGCCTGCAGAAAGAAGAAAACCTCTTCAGTGAATAGGCTCTGGAGACTGCTCTGTTTATCGGGTAATGCTTATTCCATGAGACTTCTGTTTATTTTACTTACCCTGCAGCTCTCTGAACAGAAAAGACTAGTTGATGCTTCTATCAAATCTGAACTCATCCTAGACTTTTGATTAGAAGAAAACAAAAACAAAAAAATAACCCACACTGGACAATTTTATGTTTTCCTCACACAGGACGACCCAGACAGAAAGCATGTCTGTGTGAAGATAGGAAGACTGAGGCCATTACTCTGAATGATCAATTAAGTAACTACTGCTCGATCAAAATATTGTGATTAGCAATGGCAGGGCCAGAGTGGACTTCTTTGAAAAATACACCAAAAAATATCCATAATATGAATGAAGTTTGTCAAATCTCAACAGGAATTCATTTTTAGATCAAAAAGGGAAGAGGAGGAACAAACTTAGCGTTGAATGCTCTATGAATTATCACCTAAAAGAACTGAAAGAAAAAGATGGGAAAAGAAAGGGAGAGCGGGAAGGAGGAAAAAGAAAGACCTCAAGCTGTAGTGAAATGACCAAAAACAGTACTGGCAAGAACAAGGAAATGCCACCTAGAAAAAGAACAAAAGACATGAAAGAAATCATAAGAAGACGTCAGGAGAAATCTGCCCTCAGAAGAAAAGGGCATCACAGAGCTATCAAGTTTTCTTTAAAAAATAAATGTGTGCTTATGTATGTAAACAAACACATATATACACACACAGATGTACATATGTTCCATCTGAACTCTAAAGTTGAATCTAATGAATGAAATAAGCTGTTTCCAGGAGGCTGACTAACGCTGCTAATACTAAGACTGAGTAACAGCACAGAGCAGCAGTGGGAACTCACAATGGCTCTTCAGGTAAGATCTGCTGTCGACTGTTACAAGATGCCGGCACAAGTAACAGGCTCCTCAGGGCCAACAGGCTCCTCAGGGCCCACACGGGGAAGACAGGAGTCACGCTGGGAAGGAGGGGGCCGGGTTAAAACAAGCACTTTATCCAGACCATGAGAACATGGAAACAAATCCTCAACTAGCTGCAGAAACAAGAGAGAGATGGGAGCACTCAACATTCCCAACACCGCGGTCAACTAACAAGTAGCTAGTGTCATTTCCTAGAAACACGCACTCTGAGAATGTCACCGCACGTCATTTAAAGGGGCCCGCCATCAGCATTTTTATATAAGATGATAGGGTGCACGCATGACTTTAACTAAAATATAAATAATTTTTAAAAACTGATATATTTTTTTAAAGGTTCAAGTATGAAAAACAGAAAACTAGGTAATTATCTCCTGATGAGCGGTAAACTGGAAGCGGGCAATACAGTTCTGAGTTAGCAAACTGGCTCTGAACACTTGGCTGACCTGTGCTGTGTGTCTGCCTGTGTGGGGTGGGGCTCTCACTGATGGGACACAGGCAGCTTCATCCTGGGAGAGTCCTACTGCTCGTCTGGGCACAGAACTAGAAACCACAGAGTGCTGTGGCAACAGTTATCCTGTTCTGCCAACGGTGTGCCAGCGACGTGCTGATGTCACATCTTGCAGAGCGCGGTGGCCTGGCTCACTGGACCCACACCCCTGCTGTGATCTGCACTAGCTATCAACACATCTTCAGTCTGGGGGTCCACATCAGCCGCCTCACAAGAGGTGTGCAGCCCGAGGCGGGAAGCCAGGTGCCAGTGGCTCGGCCCTGAGCACAAAAGTGGCACTGAATTAGAGGCTGCGGCATGGGTCCTGGAGGTGGCTGGTCCTTAACCAGCACAGCCTTTAATCCCACACTATCGGGGGCTGCAGCCGGCTAGTCAGACAAACTCTGCCTTCCGTGCCACTCTCCACCCAGTTTAAGATGTCCTGTCAGCACAGTTCCAGAACTATGCTTGAATGATCATCAGGAAGATTGGGCTCTTTTGAAATATCTATCCCCTGGTCTCATCTTAGTTTAAAAAAAATAAAAAATAAAAGATATATCATAGTCTCAAGACATCTCAGAAACATAAAATTCGAGCTACTGGATCAGGAAATGGTAAGGACGTTCCTCATTCAACTGTGTTAAAGCACACATGAAAAGGCCAGCCTCTCCTTTTAACGTCCATTCAAAACAACTGTCAGGCTGTGGACCTCTGCAGGCGGTGGCTTCAACTTCAGATTTATAATGGGTTCAAGAGTGAACTTCAGAAGACTCAAAGGATCTGAAACATGCCCTAAATTTTGATCAATTTTTGACGAACATTTTTTTCTTTAATGATATTCCTCAAACAACTAGAAAAATCTTAGAATTGCCATGTGTAATGTCATATCTTAATGTAAACATCAAATAAGGTACCAAAATTTTTCCTGGAGGAAAAGAAAGCCAAACCTTTAGTGGGCACAGTTCTTTCTGCCCTGGGGGGTAGGGGCAGGCCACAGACACTTACACATGCAGAGTGAGAAAAGGATTTTTCACTAAATTCACGCAGTTTTAAAATAGTTATCAAGTCTACTAAGCACCAACAATCCTAAAAATTTTCAGCTTCATGATTTGTGTTTTTTTTTTTTAAAAAAAAAAAAACAACAACAACACACTCTCAAATTAACATTAAAAACAAGCGGGAAGTGTTGCTTGTCAAAAACCAAAACAAAACTAAGTATGCCAGTGGGTTTTGGCTAGTTTTTTTTTTTTTTCTTTTTCTTTTTCACATTTCAAAACCCAGTGGCATACAGAATACACATGGGCAAAGAAGGCCTTGACCTCCACCCTATGCTGATGGAGAGAACAGCATGTCACAGAGTCTAAAACTCTGAAAGTTTTAGAACGCAGCATCCTGTCACCAAAAAAAAAAAAAAAAGATAAAGTTTTTAGAAGATGCTGCCCCTTTATTTAAAAAAATTTTTTAAGTGAATTTAAGCAAAAATAACATACATTTGTACATCAACTGGCCATTTCTGGTACAGAAACCCAGCATGTGGTAATATTATTGAATAAATGTAAATGCTACTTAACATTTTTTTCTTTTTAAATATATTTTAGACAAACTTTTTTCTTTTTTTTTTATAGTTGCACAATTAACCTCTTAGCTGCTAGCTTGATGCAAACATATGTAACAATACACAAATTTAAAAATATTTTTATTCTACATAAAAGCTGTCGAAATTCTGACTCACATCAAAAATGCAAAATAATGGAATATACTTTCAAACTTAGGCGCAGGTCTAGCAGCAAGGGGACTGAGTGCGAGCACGGTCAACATTACGGAGGGCTGTGCGCAGGCGCAGCCGCCACCTCAATCCTACGGACAACCAGGAACCCAACATTCAGAGGCGAGCGAGGGCGGTCACTTGAAGTAGGAGTAGAAGCCGTTGCTGCCCGGGCTGCTGCCTAGGCTGAGCTCCTGGAACAGGGACAGCGGGTCGCTGCCCTTCTTCGCCTGCTCGGGCGGGGGCCTGGGCTTGGGCGGGGCCCGCAGCGCACTGGCATAGGACATTGCCGGCTTGCTCCCTGCCGGACTCTGCTGGTGGCTGCTGTTGGCCGACTCTGCGATCTGCTTGTTGGGCATGAGGGGTGGGAACTGGCCGAGGTGCTGCAGCACCGAGTAGTTGAAGGAACTGGACGCCTCCCCGCTGTCGGGCTTCAGCTGATCCTCAGGGGGTTTGACAGTCTTGGGCGGGGCTACAAGCAGAGAAAGTGACAGGGTTTAACCAGGCCACAGGATGGGAAACCACAACCCCTCTCTTGAAGAAACACCATAAAGGAACACCCATGGCCACCGGAGCGCTGTCAACAGGGACGGGAAAGCCGTGCTGCCAAGTAAAGGCTCGGCTATCTGCCTGGGCAATGGGTTACTGTGAAGTGGAACATGCATGTGCCCGCAGTGTCTGCTCTCAAACCCGGTCGGGGGAACCAGGTCCACTTGTTACAGCCACTCCCCTTTCTTGTAACACTCATTTAAATTGAATCATTTTAGTTTTCTCAGAGAAGATCTTGCTATGTAGCTCAGGCTGGCTTTGAACTCCTTATCCTCCTCCTCAGCCTGCCCGGTGCTGGGGGAGCGGATGTGCACCAACATGCCCAACTGCTATATTCTAAGTGAACACGGAAGACTGAGAGGGGAGAAACAGAGGTAAACATCACATCTTCTACTTCCTGGCTTTCAAGGTCTTTAAAACCTGGTCCCACTCTTCCTGAGCAGTGTTATCCATCAACATATAGCTTTTGTTTCCAGTCTTTTAAGCCTTAAAAGACAGCGTATTGTATGAGAGAGCAACAGAAGAGGGAGAGCACCCACGCACCCTTGCAAGAACACACAGTGGCTTTTGAGCAATGCAAATGTGGGAGGGACTGACAGGAAACCGCCCCGTACACATTCAGGTGCTGAGGAGTCTAAATCACGGCTTCTGGAAGCTCGCCCATTCATCTTACCTATCAGCTCTCTGGGCTGAGGTGTCCTGCTGGATCCATTGCACGGAATGTTCTGGTAGGGGGCAGATGAGGTGCTGTTGGCCCAGGACTCGGGGGCTGGGAAGCTGAACGCAGGTGTGTGGCCGTGGTCCTGCGTGTCTTTGCCCTGAGCCAGGCTGTCTTGCGGGGTGTTGCCTTCTTCCACACAAGGCTGGGCTGAGCTAGATGAGATTCTTCTTTGGTACAAGGGCCGACCGGGTCCTCTGGGCTCATACTACACAAGAAAAGGACGTGTGGAAAGTCAGGCAGCCTCCGGCACACCCATACCACCCTCAGATCCATAGTGATACAACCTCACACAGCAGAGAGATTCTCTCCTGTACCAGAAGACTCCCTCCCTTCACCATCTCCCCTTTAAAATGCAGCAGCTACTCCAACATGGTGTCAGGAGACCTGGGTCCGAAACTTCTCTCTGGACTGTCCCTCCCTGTGTAGTCCGGTGGGGACACATGCCAGCCCGTGGGTCCTGAATAAATCGGTTATCCTTAGCTATAAAGTTATACTGTAATTCTAGAGAACGGCAGTGTGCATGTGTGAGCTGGAGTCAAGCTGGTAGAACCACAGAGCTCCAGAAGAGAGCCACCCAGACAGCTCCTGGCCCTTCCCAGCTTCAGCTGTGCTCAGGGCCACTGACAAGAACCACTTCCTCCCATCTGGCCTAAGCACTCCAGACTGGGCTTCACCGTATTTCTCCCAGCCAATCAGCTGGTACACAATACTCAGTACTTTCTCCACAATATTCTTTTCACATGTTTAGAACCCTCCTGATGAGAGAGAGCACTCATAAAACAAACAAACAAACAAACAAACAGAGCCCATGTGAGGTTGTCATGGAAACCATTCGGTCCACATGTTCAGATCCTGATTAACTTATGCATCTGCTCCTCTCTAAAATTCCTAAAAGTATGCTCCTAAAAGTATGCAGGCCAAATTCTCCTGCCCTCCTGACAGGGCTGTCTGGCAACCATTTCAAGGTGTAGCCTGAGCCAAGGGCTCGGCAGTTTCTTCTTGCCTATTGTGGTAAGTACTGGGTATCAGCTCCAATGGCAGGCAGTGCCAAAGCCCGGTGCAGACCAGCCTGGCCTCCTGGGAACTTCATCTACATGACCCAACCCTAGCATCCTTCCTCTTGGGACTGTAGAGAGAACTGAATATGCTAGGAACTAGGGTGTTTAGATTGGTTCCTGCTGCATGTTTAAGGGCAATTGTTATATCTTTGTTTTACTGTTAAAAAAAAAAAAAAAAAAAAACCTACATCTGATTACAAAATGGCACATGGCTTTTAATTGTCCCAACTTTTCTCCCTGATAATGGTAAAATCTGCTTTTCAGATCAATTATGATTCAGACGAATCTCTCCCACCACCATTGGAAGTGTGTGTGAAAGCACAAGGGAAGAGCTGCAAGATGAAGATGGTGGGCAGCATCAGACTGGGATGCGAAGGCAGTGGCGTGTCTGCATCAATGCAAGGCCCCAAGCAAAACCCCCTAGGCTAGAGATCAAGGCGGGGACAAGACAAGGGCAGGAACCCTCTCTCTCACCAGACAGCTGTGAGGCCAGGCCACACTTGTACTTAAAAAAAGGAGAAGTCACGGCCACCTGAACGATTCCCTTCCCACCTGTATCTTATTTATGTCCTCTGTTTCTCATGAGATCATTTACATTCACCTTTAATTTTATTCTTTGGAGAAAATTCTTTCCCACTGATCAAAATCATTCTGAATTTGACTGGGGATTGAGATTATGCTGCTTTGTGTCAAATTCAAGCTGCACACTTGGAGCTCCTTTCAGTCCTTAAAAGGTGCTTAGCAGGAGAGCTAACCCTCCAGAAGTCTGTGTTCTCCAGGCCAGACAACCCTAGAGATCAAATGGTTGGTTCAGTCTTTTTTGTAAGAAAGACAATTAGCTCTTGAAATGAAGATGAAGTGTTTTGTAATTGTCACACTGGGAATTCTGCCCTGTCATTTGTCTGCAGGGCATCACACTCCTGAGCCTTTATGTGTGAAAGCTAATGCACTCATGTTCGCCAGGGCCTCAAAAAAAAGCAAGCTGTAAGAGCCCTGTGACACAGAACCCTGCATTTGGGCACACAGACCTCAGCCAGTTACTTCATAAGCCCTGTCCTTAATGGACACTTACAACAGTAGTACAGACAATGGGTAGACGTAGGAACCTTGGGGCTTCGGTGAGAGAATAGAAAAATCAGAAAGTCACGTAAATATAATTAAAGAAAAAAAAATACAAGGTACGGCTATGGAATACACAAAGGTGAACTTGTGAAAAAGCCATCTTCATTGGAATCTTTTTCTTCAAAGGTAAGGTGGGTACAGGCAAAAGAACAGACAGCAAATGAAAATGGTTTATACAGCAAACAAAGCTGAGGCCGCTTTATTCTTTCTGTCTCAGTTCTTAAGCTTTATGTCCTTGCATTGCTGCACTGACTGAAGCCTCCAACAAGCACTCCGCCTGCTGCCTTCTTCCCTTCCCTCCTTCTTTCCCTCCCTGCCTCTTCTGTTCTTTCCGTCGATCTTCAGTCTCCATCCCCACCCTTTTGTTTCCCATCTTTCTACTGGAGACAAGTCTCACCATGTAGCCCATGCTTGTCATGACCATCTGAGCTCAAGTGGTCTCTGTGCACAGGCCACAGGGACAGGAGGTGTGGACAACTGTGACGCAATTGCCCTAACCTCTCTCTAAGGCTGGAAGCCTCTTCCTATTACCTATGGTGGTGGCTGCTGGGTATTTCAGGCGCCTTTCAGCAGCTGCAAGTCTCTTTCTACTTTGTGTGAACGTGTGTGGATGGTGGTAAGGAGGGTGGTGGGTCGTCAGCTTTCAGAAGGGGGGATATCAATTGATATGATCGTGTGACTTTCCCCAGACTGTTAACGTGGTAGGCTATCCACCGATTTACTTTCAAATACTGCACCAGCCAGATAAGCTGCACAGGATCACGGTGGATTGTGCGCCTCATGCCTGGCTGAATTCAATTTGCTGTTCTGTTGAGGATAGTTACATTCTTGTCATAGAAATCAGCCTATAGTTTTCTTTTTTCTTCTGCCTCTGTCTTGCTTTGGAAATAGAAATGGTGGCTCTCTGCATAAACTGACAAGCTTTCCCTTCCATTCTCTGGCAGGGACTGTAATTGGTAGACTTTCTTCTTTACATATTTAGGGGAATTCAGTAGTCAAACAGCTCTAACCCAGACAGTTATCTCTTGAAGTGTTTTAACCATAAACTCAATTCTTTAACAGCTATATGATCGTTCCTATGACATTTATGTCATTGTTGGTGAGTTTTTGAAAGTTTGTGGCTTTCAGGGAAGTGAGTGGCCCACATCACCTAACCTGTTTAAAACTGCAACCTGTTATTATCCTTCAAAGCCACCTCATCTGAATGACATCATTCCTTTGTTCCTGCTATCAGTAGCCAGTATCTTCTCTTTTTTTCTTGTCACTCTTTTTTTTGGGGGGAGGGGCTGTTAATATTTTAACAAAGACTGAAGCATGGATGGGGAGAGTGAGCAAGAGAGAGACAGTGAGGCAGAGATTGAGATTGACTGATTGATTCAGAACATGTTATAGCACACTGTTCTCCAATGAGAAGAAAGACTTTTTGCCTGCCCTCCTAGAGTGGGGCATCTGCAGCCTTTAACCTACGAGTCCTTTCCCTTCGTGTCCCCATAACTTTCCATCTTTCTAGCCTACCTCAATTCTCCCTGAGCCTCTGATCCCTGCAGAAGGCTAAAACTCCATTTTCTATAATTTCTCATATTAAACAAAGTCACTGACCCTACCTACTCAAAAGACAAAATTCTAACCTGTCTACACAAGGCTTGAGACAGCTAGAGCACAGACAGCAGAATGTCATTTCAAGTGAACCAAAAATGCTTCAGAGAGATTCCAGACAAGACCCCAAGGTATCAGTATGTGAGGAGATGGAGATGAGGCACAGCTTCCCACTGTAACCCTCAGTAACCTCGGGAGTTCCCCAGACCTTTAGGGCCTTCAACTCATGGAGTCACGGAATTCAAAGCAGAAAACCAGCAGGACACATGAGGTTTAGTAATGACATCTTGATACAGATGTAGGGTGTGGAGAGAGAGAGAGAGGGTCATGCAGAAGACAGACCCTTGCTAGTCTTGCTAAATGCTATCTACTTTCCCTTTGCAAAGAACCAACTGTGGGTTTCAGGGACTCTTCTCTACTGTATTCTGTAGTACAGAATTGAATTGCATTGAATTGTTTTCATCATTCTCATTTCCTGGTGTTTATCTTGCTCTTCCCTTTAGATTTCTTCAGATAGGGGCTTAGGATTTCTCCTCTGAAATCTTGTTTCTTTTCTACTTTAAACATTGCACATCCCTCTGATGTTGCTGTGGCAGCAACACATGAATTCAGACACTCTGCATTCTTACTTTCTAACACACAATAAGCCAATGATCTGTATTATACACAGACATCTGGAAAACAGGAACCAGAATGGGATTCTTAACAGATTAGCGTCCAGATACAGAATGAGATATCAAAAAATGTAACTACAATATGCTGGAAATTCAAATACATAACGATGCTTGATTCAGAATGATATTCAAAGAGAAAACAGGAAGAAAAAGGCCTCAACAGCCATTCTTGAATCCTGCTAACACATTGAATTATTAGCCTAAAAATGAATAAAGGACATAAATTATATATCTGTCTTTTTCATATAGACTCTTTTAGTAGTTAGTATTTTATCATATTCAATGGTGAAAATTCTCCTTCATATAAGAAAAATAAACACAGAAGAAATTTTTAAGAACTTTTAAAACACTATTTGCCATCTCTAATGAAACAAAAGACTAAATCAACAGCCATCGACAGCTGCTAACCAGGAACGTTGCTGGGAACTATTACAATCAGTCAGACTGGTACCCAGTGCCTCACCTCAGCAGTCAAGTTACCAGAGCAGAGAACTAAACATCGCCTGCATCTTCTTCTACTTGCATACAAAGACACACACTCACTGAAAACAAAGTCATATTGTCCCTGTTTTGGCAACTTCTCATTAACATGTTATAGGTAGAGGCTGAAGAAATGACTCAGAGGTTAAGAACACTTACTGCTCTTGCAAAGAACCTGGGTTTAGTTCCCAGCGCCCACATGGTAGCTATCAATCAGCCACAGCTCAGTGACAAGGGATCTGGCAGTCTCTTCTGGCCTCTGTGGGCACCAGACA